TCATGCAATCAGTTCCAAGCTTTAAGCCAAGAAGAGATTGGGGTTTCCTGAAGAAGAATCCTGCCTGGAGATTGTCATGTGGAAGCCCTGCTTTTGTGTCTTACACGACCTGATGATCTGGGACTCAAGACTGCCTTGTCTTGCTGACCCAAATTTCTACCTGACTGGCTTGCCTAATTCATGAGCCTAGTCCTTAAAATCTCCCTCTAATCATGTGTGTGTGTGTGTGTGTGTGTGTGTGTGTGTGTGTGTGTGTGTGTGTGTGAGAGAGAGAGAGAGAGAGAGAGAGAGAGAGAGTCATTCTTTGACGACCCCCTCTGCCTTCTCTCTGCTTTCCCTACCATGAAATCCCCTTGTCTCTCCCCACAAAGCTCACGGTAAGGTCAGCCCACTGGTCACCGAGGACTTGGTTTTCAAAGGTGCTAAAGTGTTGGTTACCCAGGAGCCTCAGCTTCCTCCTCTGCCCCCTCTCTCAGATCTTCCTTCTCTGAAAGTCAATAACCTAAAAGGAAGACCAGCCCAAATCCTATAATGTCTGTTTGCTGGCCATTTTGGCTTTTAAAACTATGCAAAAATAAGTAAAGATGAAGAAGGAGAAGAGTCTTGGAGGAGAGGTTACACTCTGGGCTCCAGTGAATATTGGGGATTAACTGAGACTTGTTGTTATCCACGCTCCCCTCTGCTCCTAATTACCATGGGTAACCGTGACTCGCAGAGACCTGAGCCAGTCCTAGCAGACAGAGATGTCTTCTATGCTCATCCCATCTTGGCTGACACATAAAGACCTGGGCTCTGGGCCCACAGACAGGGTGGGTTTACGTTCATCTCGTTCCTCCTGCCTCCAGCCCTGCCTCCAGCTTTGCTCCTGCTGTTCTCCTCTGGCCTTACTCTCTTCCCTACCAAGTGGGACTGGGGAAAGACAGGCTGTGTGTGATCTGATGCAAGGCCAGGGCTTCGTACATTCCCTGCAGGAGATGGTTTTCTATGGTGTGTTCTTTGAGTCAGGTTTCACTGCTGGGCAGAAAGTGGCTGAGCTCTCATTGCTCTGCACCATCTTGGGCAAGTTTGGGAGGGGCTATGTGGAAGTGCACAAGGGTGTGTAGTACTACCCCTGTGCTCCCTCTTCTCTGGTGTGGGTTGTGTCTGCCAGGCAGGTACAGGCAGCCCTGGCCCATTCTAATAGTCCCTGGGTCACACCTTCCTGTCTTCTCTCTGTTTCCCAAGTTTTCCTGAGCAGAGATGATGCGTTTCAGAGTAGCATACTTCTGCATCACAAGAGCTCCTTGCTCTGTGCATTAGTGACTCTTGAAGTCTACCCTGGATTGCATTCTGTAGTCCAACCTTTGAGAAAACGCATTTGGGAGGTGACCGAGAAGGGGAGAGGGTGGCTCCACAGATACACTGGCTTCTGGGCCTTCAGACATGTAGTGAGTCTACTCCTTGGTACTTACTAATTAGTGTTTATATGACTTTCAGGGTGCTGAAGGGGCTACAAGAATCCTCACGGCAGAAAATGACAAAGAATTAAGCAGGTCTAGCTAGATATTTGGTACCCGTTGTTAAATAACAAGCTAGCTGAAACCTTCTAGTGCATCAGAAACATAACTTATCCTTGCCAATGTAGCTGTCAGTCGACAGAATGGCCATCTCACTAGCTTTACATGAGTTGGCTCCTGAGCTCATCCTAGTGGAGGATCAGTGGGGTGGCAACATCCAAACTGACCTCAGTCACGTTGCTAGAGGCTGAGCCGTTTCTCTTTTCCTCTTGGGTGGCTCTGCTCCTCCAGCAGGCTAGAGTGTCTCCCTTATGTGGTGCTCTTAAGGCTCAGTGAAGGCAAAGGCAGAAGCCACAAGACCTGCAAAGGCCTGGGCTACTTCTCCAGCATCATCACACTGTTATTCTGTGGGTTAAAACCAGTCAGACAGAGTCCACGTGAACTGGCCAACACAAGGGCATGGAGACACACCATTGGAGACTATTTGGTGATCATGTCCTGTGAAGTAAAAGAGGAGTATAGAATGGAATAAAGCTTGGGTTAGCCTGTAGCAGTGAAAGATGTCACTGTAGAGAGGTAAAAAGCACAACTGGGCTGGGCTGGAATTCCTCCTCTGCCTCCTCCTAGCTCTGATCATCATCATCATTATTATTATTTTAGAGAGGGCTTTGTGTATCCTAGGTTTGTCTTCTGATCTTCCTGCCTTCATCTCTTGAATGGTGGGACTGTAGGCATGCACCACCATGTCCAGTTTCTGCAGTGCTAAGGATCAAACCCAGGATTTCTGGCATGCCAGGCAAGCACTGTACCAAGTGAGCCAATGCCCCAGATCCCTAATTCATGGTCTTGACCAAATCACTTAGCCAGTGTGTGTCCCTGATATTAATACCTATCTTCAGAGATTGGAAATAGTGCAGAGACAAATAGACTGTCCCTCGCCAACCCGACACTTAGTAAGTACTCAAATGCTTGTCTTTCATTCACTGTATAGATCTATAATGGTGGGTGAGATACAAAATTGGGTTTTGGTTTTCTAGTTCTGAGACTAAGAGGCAGAAATCCTGAGGGCCAAGTTTCATGTGCCTTGGCTGAGTGGGTATAATCGGTCAGAGGAAACTGTGTGTGTATGAACACATTTGCTCTTGAGTTGAGCTTTTGGGGAGTCTATCAGGTGCTGCCCTGGAGGAAGAGCAAGTAGCTAGATGCTAGCAAGGTGGCCTGGATTGTCCACAGACCTCAAGCTGAGTCCCAGCTTCCTTCTTGGAGTGAACTTCAGAAAAATTTGTGCTCTCCAGAGTTTGTTTTCTTTTTGTTTACAAAGCTGGGGTCACAATAGTGCCCAGAATAGGTGGGCCAGGAGGCAAAGCCGTTCCTCTGTTGCCCAGTGCTTTTCACACAAGGAACATTTGCCCATATCATTAGTTCCAAAGAGCCATTTTAAGAGGTTTTTTTCCTTTCTGGAGGACACATACTTTTCACAAATGGTTGGTGCTGTGTGTATGTGTGTGTGCGCACTCGTGCACACAAGCAAGCACTTGCATGTTCATGTGATTTGGGGAGAGATGCACATGTATATACCTCAGCATGAAGGCAAGAGGCTGAAGTCAGGTGTTTTCCTGGGCTATTTTCTGCCTTATTATATTTTTTTGAGACAATGTCTCTCACTGAATACAGATGGAGCTCATCTGGGATGGCTGGCCCATGAGCTCCAGGGATCTTCCTGTCTCTGACCTATCCCATTGATTGGTGGGATTATAGAATTATGGTGCTCAGCCCATGCCAGGCTTTTTATATGTGTGCTGGGGATCTGAACTGAAATCTTCAAGCTTGTGTAGCAGGCACTTTACTTACTGAACCATTGCCCCAGCCCAGCTATTCCGTCATTCCTGTATTTTCCTTACAGAGTACCTAGGCTTTCAGAGTGGCTGCTAAAGTGATAAAAATTCTGTATTTGGTCTTCTCTTTAATTCCATACTAATCTGTATTTTTCCAGATTTGAGGGCTTCCTTTTCTTTATGATTTAGTTCTCCATTGGTCATAGACGCTGACTGTAAACCTTTAAGAATTTCCAGAAAGACAAACCATCCAAAGCCATCCAGAAGGCCCAAGCTACAGGCCTGCTCTTTTTTCTGCTCAGCTCCTGCCCTGACTCCCCAGGTTTCCTTCAGGCCCACTGATGTGTAGTTAGGCTCATCATGCCTGCTGCCCTGGTGGGGGGGGGGAGGTGCCCTCCTCTTCCCCTTTGCATCTTGCCGTGGTCTGATTTATGGCTGGAGAGGCTGGCCTTAGAGAGTCTTGATTTAAAGCCCCTGTCAGAGGTCATTACAAGAACGTGGTGCCCATAAAAGCTGTTTTCCTTTGCCTTTGTTTCTTGGTCAGCTCTTTCATGGCATGAAATATGAGGTTGGAAAATGAGGCTACCAAATTGGAGCTGGGAGAGCTATCCCAAGCCTCTGGTGTAATCCCCTTGAAGTTGTATTGGTGTTTGTCTGACAAGATCTAAAGAACGTGGAGGGGTTACCTTTGGGGGCCATGTGGCTTGAACACATCAGTGTTGTTTGTGATGAGGAAACAAACTCAACATTTTATCTTCTAAAAAGTTAAAACAAACAGAATTTTAAAATCAAACAAAATTGCCTACCCCACAAAATAAAATCAACCAACCAACCAAACAAACAAACAAAAACCAAAAAACAAAGCTGCCAGCCAAGCAAAGAAAGGAGAAATCAGGAAGAGAAGCCAGGGTAGTTTAGTGGGCAGGGTTTTCCAGGGAAAGGTCCTACAGGAGTGAGGCTTCTGTGATGTGGCTGCACCTGGCATAGGGCCCCAGTTACTGTCTGGGGCTGGCTCTGGCTCGGGAGAGATGTGGTTTGGCTGTTTGGACATGTTCACACGTTCCTGCAGCTACCAACTACAGACACCCTTCTGCCTCCGCTGTTTCTGCTCCTATCTGATGGACGATTCTGCCCATTAGCTTTCTTTCTTTGTCTGCTTGTGTTGGAGGGTGAAAGAAGCCTGGGCTGGCTCTTGTTGTTCTCTCATTTGGGTATAGAACATCCCTCTGCACAAAGGTGGTTGTCTGTGGTTCTGTCCTGCTATGCCTGGACTAGGGAGTGTCCCTTTGCACAGGCATCCCAGCATCCACTTGTAGTTTGCCTACTGCCTCTCCCGATGCCTGTAAACAGTGTATGTGGACAGGGACAACTCTGAAAATGGAGGAACTTTCCAGCTCCAGAGCAAACTGCTGCTTGGAGAAGTATCCCTGAAGTCCTGGCTGGCTAGTTGCTACATGAGAACCTCTTTGGTGAAAGTGCTGATGAGCCCCTGGCAGTGTAGATGGCCATAGGGGGGGCTCTGGCCCTCCGGGGCTTTCACCTTGGCAGCGTGCAAGACATGGTTGTCTGAGATGATTCATCTGTTCCTTGGGGGCAGGCCTGGTCCTGGCTACAGATCCTGGACAGAAGGAGGCATAACAGTCACTAGAAGCTGCATCTTCTTTTACAGAGAAAGTCCATTCTTGTGACCAGGAGAGGCAGAGCGCCTTGGAGGAGGCCCGGCAGAACCCCCGAGAGGGCATTGTGATCCCCGAATGTGCCCCTGGTGGGCTCTATAAACCTGTGCAGTGTCACCAGTCCACGGGTTACTGCTGGTGTGTCCTAGTGGACACAGGGCGCCCGCTGCCCGGGACTTCCACACGGTAAGCCCTCTTGGCCGAGCATCACCCAGGGGCCAGCATCTGGCTATGCTGTCATTATTGTTGTCACTGCCCTACTTCTCTTAAGCCAGGTCACAGGAGACTGAGGTCTCCATTCCAGAGCAGATGAAGGTGTAGTAGAAGTGCCTGGGGACCCGGGTTCTGATCACAAACCCATTTCTTTCTAGCTGTGGACATTGGAAAACCACTTAATCTCTCTCAGCCTCAGTTGCCTGATGAAAAGCTCATTGTACTGCCCAGATTACGAACGAAGTCCTATATGAAAAAAAAAAAAAAAAAAAAAAAAAAAAGAGGTCCCGTGTACAGATTGGAGATGGCATTGTTATCACGCTTGTGTGGCTAAAATGACATGCCTGAACATGTCTCAATGGGAGCATTTATGCTGGATTGTCTTGTAGCTGCTGGACAGTTCAGGGACTTTTATTTTCCTCCCTGAGGGCTCTCGGCTTAGTGATTACACGGATCATTCCTGGGCAACAGTGACTGAAGAAGACTCAGTTGCCAACCCCCACCTCGTTTCTCTGTCTCTCCTCCCAGCTATGTGATGCCAAGCTGTGAGAGTGATGCCAGAGCCAAGAGTGCCGAGGCGGATGACCCTTTCAAGGACAGGGAGTTGCCAGGTAGGAGACACTGCCTGCTGGTGCTGGCATCTTCATTCCTTGGGCTTCTCATCCCCTCGCCATGCAGAGCCCACTCTCTCCTTTTTGTTGGTTTCCCCACTTGGCAGCAGAGAGCAATGAATATTGCCCATCACAGGAGCACAGATCTGGAAGCCATAGAATCTGCATCCCGAATTAGTCCTGTGTCCTTGAGAACATCGCTCAATTCCCATGCTCTTTCCTCCTCTTCTTAAAAGTGTAGCCACGGCCTTAAAACTCTGTCCCTGGAATTTCATGGCCATTCTCCATCTCAGTGAAGTAGGGATGATAATTTAGGATCTGTGAAGCTAAGGTAGCTTACAAGGAGTGGCTTCCCTGAGGGGTCTGGGTGGTGTCTGCCACCTGTTGTGTGGAATGCTTTTATGATGGTCCTTGGTGACACATGATGGCCACTAGGGATGACACGAGACATACTGGCAAGAGCTCAGGATTCCCCAACTTGCCACTGGGTTGGGTTTCCCAGCAAACTCAGAGTCACAATAAGAATTCTAAATGCAGGTTATATGGATTGTAGACTCTCCCCTGTAAATCCTTGGCAAGTCCTCTTCTCTGTGTACCATTCTAGAAGAAGTCCAAGCACAGGGACACCTTCTCACAGGTGACCTTGTCTTAAATCTACACTCACATCGAAGGAGCATCGCTGGAGAAAGCACCCCCACACCTCTGTGGAGGTGTGAGCCCTCTAAGTTCATGCTCATTAACAGTCTTTACTCAGTACAAAAGTAGCTTTGTTAATGGGTGGCAAATAAGAATCTGGGAAACGATAGGCTGATTGATGGTTATTCGAGGAGAAATCACTTAGACCAGAAACAGATGACCGAGTATGTTCCCAACCCAAGGATGCTTCCAGATGCTCTCTGCCTCCAACCAGGAAGTAAGAGTGCAAGCTAAGGTCCGGAACCTCAGACCTAGTCCCCCCAGGTCATGCCTACACCTGTCCCCATGCCCCAATGGACATGGTCAGTGCAACAGGTGCGGTGCGTGCGTGCGTGCGTGCGTGTGCGTGTGTGTGTGTGTGTGTGTGTGTGTGTGTGTGTGTGTGTGTAGCTCACTACAGTCTGTACTGATGAGAACTGGTGCCGTCTTCCTATTGCCCATCAGGACTCCACAGTGAGAACTGAAAGCAGGCAGTCCTGCTTTCAGTCCTTGTGAGGTTTGTAGAACTCACTGTCACAAAATTGGAGGCAAGGAAGCCAGGGTGCCGCCTTCTAGCCACCCCTCAACAGGATGGGAATAGTTACTCCACTTCGTGCCAGATATGGTTTAATCTAGAGTTCGGGGACACAAGGTTCACAGAGTAGAGGCGACGAACATGGAGATAAAGGAAGGCATGTGTGTACGTAGATTCAGGACAGGGTACCCTCAAGAGAAGAGTGCAGCACTGTGAGAAGGACAGTGCCAACTTACTTTAGAGTCTACAATGCTCTAAGAGGTCATATTTAACTCGAGACCTCAGGGTTTGGAGAAAGAGGGGCCTCGAAGCTGCAGGGGTGGGGTTGGGGTTTCAGTTGTGCTGAGGGCCCACCTGGTGCAGGTGAGTAGGGCTCCCGTCTCTGCAGTGGTGGTGGTGGGTGTTTTGCCAGCAATGCTTTTCTCTGTGGCCTGGATCTGGGACAGGCATGCCTGTGAGAAGGCTTACCCATGCTTGGGCTTTTGCAGAGGTAGTGAAACATGAATAAGAACTTGTGGGATGTTAGAGAGGAGTCTTCAGTTACCATCTTGGCTAGGAAAGATGGACAAAAGAGGAGGTTTTTGATAGGTTCACCCACATCAGCTTGCACCATGGAGATTCTCCCTCATCCCAGCCTCCTCAGCATCTTGTTCTTGCCCCCAGAGCAGTGTTTTTCATATGAACAGTACCTATCTGGTTATTGTCCTGAGTACATTGGCCCAGTAAATTATTGTGAATTCTGAGGCCAAGGACCTCATCTGCTGTCTCCCTAGCATTTCCACAGTGCCTGCATCGGTACTCAGCAGTGGACGGGAACGAAGCTGAAAGCATTCTTAGCTTTTTGGTCTGGATTATGCAAAGAGGAGATACAGTATATGGATTGTAGACTCTCCCCAGTCTTTGACTGGGCAAAGACTCTGAGCAGATGGTAGTCGAGAAAGCTGTTGCCTTGGTAAGTGACCTTGATTCTGCCTTCAGATATCCTCTTGTCTTTTAGGTTGTCCTGAAGGGAAGAAGATGGAATTTATTACCAGCCTGCTGGATGCTCTCACCACAGACATGGTTCAGGCCATTAACTCAGCAGCGCCCACTGGAGGTGGGAGGTGAGAATGTGAGCAAGACTCAGGTGCAGTATGGTGTAGTCCTGGACTTCTCAGATACAAGGGAGTCTGGGAGAGAGGCCAAGGGCCTCTGTCTTCTCCTGAGCACATGCCCACAGCTTTATTCTACTTGTTGGTGAAAATTTCTCTGTTTCCTGGTTTCCCAAAACTTGATCTGTTTTCATCTAGCTTTGGCAGCAGGCCCACTGGAAAACTTACAAATACTTTTACCCAAAAGGGGCATGTAAAAGTGAGAGTCTTTCCTGCAGTACTGGGGATTGAGTCCAGGGCCTCACATCTGCCAGGCAAGCATTCTACCTGAGATACATCCCCAGGACTGAAAATCCGTAATGACAAGAAGGGTGGTGGGCACCCAGGCAGAGCAGAGAGGACCACAGGCATTTAGTGATTTCCTTTCTCTCCTGAGAAGGCAGGAGCCATGTGTCCCTTTGACCTTCTGGCAATCACAAAGAGCCGTGGACAGTAGAGCCTCATTTTCTCATAGGCAAAGTAGACTTGTTTCAGAAGTTAATATGGTGCCTGGACTAGTATACACGCTTTCTGGTAGCCAGACTCCTGGAGCCAACTGGTTTGGGCCCATTGTGTCAGTGGTTGGAACATACACCATGCATGCACCCCTCATCTGAATGCTCTTTGAATACATCCAGTATGTCAAGTCTTGACCAAGGACAAGGTATCCATGGATAGGAGGAGTGTCCCTCCCCTTAAAGAAGAAAGACAAGTGGGTGTACTAGACCATAGACAGATATTAGAAATGTAGACTGTACGGTAAGTGTAGTTTAGTATGGTAGGACTGAGGGATGGAGAAAGAGGAAGAAGAATAGGAAGGTGAGGGGATGATAATGAAGAGATGGAAGAGGAGGGTTGGATCCTGGTCCCAAGGGTCTGCTTGATGGAAACCCAGGCATGAAGTGCAATAGTCTCATTTTGTCCTTTGTATTACTTTTTGTGATTTCAGTTGTTCACAACTAACTACAGACTGAAACAATTAATTGGAAAATCCCAGAAAGAAAACAATTTATAAGTTTATGATAACCTTTATTACAATGTTTTGTTATAGTGATCTTATTATTAATCTATTTCTACAAATTTCTGCTGCTAAATGTGTATACGTTCGTCATTTGTGAATTAAGCTTTATCATAGATGTGTATTTTAGGAAAACACAGTGCGTTTAGAGTTCTATATTATCAGCAGCTTCAAGCATCCATGGGAATCTTAGAACATAGAAAGGAGAGCTACTGTTTTTGTGTTGTTTAGAAAAAAGGGAGAAAACATAAATAAGAAGACTGTGTAGGCACAGAAATCTCAGGTCTGAGTGGGCCCACCCACCATCTTAGGGCTCTGGCTACAAGTTCTGTAGAGAAAAGGTATCAATACCCCTCCCCCTTGGCTTTCATAGGAAGGGGATCATAGACAGGGAAGTTAGGATTGGTGCTTTCCTGTCACAGGACAAAGAGATTTTCATAGTCAATAAAAACTAGGAAATTTATAATGTCTTTATACCAATGTGTCCTTAGGAAAGGGCTTGAAAAAATATAACTCCCTTTTTAGTTGTAATTTAGGGTGGGGAAGTAAAAAAAAAAAAAAAAAAAAAAAAGCACTTCCTAAAACACTGTTTTCAATTTAAGCTTTTATTAGCTTGCTCATGCTTGGTCAAGGGCTGGACTTTTAATCATCAGGAAGACAAGATAGACCAAGGAATATTTAAGAAATCAGGCAGGAGAATGGAGAATGGAGTGAAGGAGGAGAGAAAGCGGGGAAACCCTGTGTGGGGAGGTGCCAGGGTTGCCAGCCTTCCTGGGCTCTGCTGGATCTTCCCATTACATCAAGCAGAAGCCTGACTTGTACTTGAATGGCCCTCAGGAAGGTCCTGCCGGCCTCTTGTTCTTCTGGTTTCCCCTCCCACCAGCATCCAGCTTCCTTCCACAGGTTACTCTGGCTGTCCTGGGACCCCCACACCAGCTGCCCCTTCTGTCTAGAATGTCACTCCCCCCTGTCTGGTGACTGTCTGGTATAGTGACAGCCTGTCTTCTCAGAAATCCTTCCCTGCTGTATTCCTAGAGTTTAGATCCCACAGCAGACATTCAACACATGCTGATGAATGCATAGCCAGGAGGATGGTAGATATGTAGACAGAGGGGGTAGATCTGATAGCCCAGTGGTTAACTCAAGACTAAATGGAAGGCTGGATGCAACGGGGAAGTTCATTGTGATTCTTTGGTAAGCAGGGCCCTCCAGCACTCTGCCTCACTCTGATGGACTGTATAGACAGATGCTCACTAGCCACTCTACTGTGATGGAGGGACAGGGGCATGGGGATCCTGGATATTGGGCAGCAGATCTGGAATAGGGCTGATGAAGAGAATCCTGGGTGTTGGATTTGGGTTTGGAATTGAGAGCTGAAGTCTCGGGCACCAGGGTAAAAGAGCCACATCCAACCCTTCCTCTCAGGGTTTAACAATTAAAGAGGGACATCAATGGATACCAGTGGGAAACAGTCCCACGTGGAAACTGTGGGAAGAAGGGGAGAGGACATTTGGACAGTGTGGAAAGTCACTCATCCCCTCCCCCTACTCAGACATGGTGATTGTCATACATGGCTTTGCACTGACTCTTGCTTCGCATCCTGTCCTTGCTATAAACTCTATGCTTCTTCCTGGGGGACATCTGAAGAAAAGGGCACTGTCCCTGGCATGGAGGAGGAGAGGAATATACTCAGGAGACTATATTACAAAGCCAGTGTGATCACAGTGTGATCACAGAGGCTGGAATGAGGTTCCAGGACTTGGGGCAGGGAGGGCACTCGAGAGCTGTCAGTAGAGGTGACTTTTCACTCACACAGGGGGAGAGGTCTGGCTCAGTTGTACCATGAGTGAGGGCTCCTCGGCAGAGGAGCATGTGGGCAATGAGAGGTGAGCAAGCGGTGGCGTAACAGGAGGAGTGGCAAAAGTAGTACGGTGTGGGGTGGGCAAATAGGAGATGGAGCTGCAGAGCTGGACAGATCCCAGGTCAACCGAGTCATGCCAGAGACACCAGGGACCATGGTAGTTGAGAGCACTTTCGAATGACCATCCTGATGGCATTAGGATGTAAAAACGGGAAATTAAAAGGGGGCGGGAGAACAGTTGCCAGCAAGCGGGCGTGCAGTGAGGGATGATTTCCTGAAGTAGTCTGCAGGAAATAAATAGATTCTCAAGACTGGGTAGATGCAGGGAGAGAGGGAGGTGCCAACTTCCTCCTCTGGCCTCCTAGCCTGATTCAGTGGCCAAAGCCTGTGCTGCTCCAATCTAAAATTAGACGATGTAGAGTTGGGTGTCCGTGAAACATCTGTGGCTGGAGCATTCCCAGGGCACTACAAGTGTCTTTAGATGAACCCTTGCTGGGTGATTAACTTATACCCTTGGTTCCCTCCACCAGAGCTCTGGAAGGCAACACTTTCCCTTGGGTCAGCCGTGTACTCACCTGCTAAATTGTCAGTCTAGAAGGACACGATCTACCTAGGTGTCAGCCTCTAGGGCTAGCCTCCCACACATTCACATTCTTTCTAAGAAGCATCTGTCAGTGGAGTGGTCTCTTCCTCTTGGTTCATTGTAGTTGGTTGCCTGTTGATGGCTTTGCAAGGAAGAGTCTGGAATGTGGCTGACTCTGCATTTCCCAACTCCACCCGCACAGCTGCTGGGGCTTGGACCCAGCTCCAGTTGGGGCTCAGTCGGTCTGCTTGGCTTGGCTCAGGCCTCCTGGCCACTCTTCCTTACCTTCTCTAAAACTGCTTAGGACAGCAGAACTGGGACCCAGATCTTGGCCAAAGCAGGTTGTGGTAAATGGGCTTGGCTCTCCAGCTATGTGTTACAGCCAAAACCTGCCACGGCCAAGGCCACAGAATCAAAACTGAAAGTGTGGCAGAAGGGTGGCGTTCACCACCCCTAAAACTGGGAGAAGGCTGAGTGTGTCTGTTCAAGGAGGTCCCTGGCTCTGGTGGGTTTCACTATCCCTGAAGGCAGGAGTTACTAAAATAGCCCAAAGGAACAGTCACTGAACTATTGTATCCTGAATCTAGACTGAGGTGTCATTTGGATGTCGTTTTCCACACTACATCTGAGGAAACTTGGGCATTCTACCTACCCAGGTATCCAATTTAGAACTTGACCCATGAAGGGGTCTTTACAGACAAAAATAAATACAGTTGATCTTAAGGAGCCATTGGCCCCTACAGCATAGGGCCCCAGCTCCAGTCTGATGAACAACTTTGAACTTAGTAGTTCTTGCTCCCAGTAGGTGGGGGGTGTGTGCATGCACACGGGAGAGCAAGATTGAGTTTTGAGTTTTGGCCTATGCTGTGGTACCAGCTGCAGATGTCTGTAAAAGGATGCCTCCTGAGAACCATCAAGAGGGTTCTTTGAGTGAAGGTGGCTTGCCAAGGCTGATAACTTGAGTTAGATCCGAGAATCTATTGGTTGGAGGGAGAGAACTGATTTCCTTGGGTTGTCTTCAGACTTCCTTGTGTGTACTATGGCATGGTCACAACCCCCCCCACACACAAATGAATGTAAAAAAGAAAAATGTAAAAGGGTATTTTCTGAGAATTGTGAGAACTGGAGGAGCCTGTGGGACATGACTTTGAGGTCAGGGTATAAACAGCAGGAGTCCGTGATGTCAGGAACTCTGACAAAGATGGATTGAGACGCTCCTGGAAAGTCTGGGGGAGACCTTATGTTCTGCCTCACCCCTATCTAGCATGATCCCTGCAGGGGGGATCTCAGAGGTGCTCAATTCACAGAGGCCTCTGGTGTTTTCTCTTGTGTGTGTTCAGTATTAGTTTGGCTATTCAGGACTGGTGATAGATCAAAAGTATAAAGGTTCTTGGAGTTTGTTCTGGTAAAGGTGTTGGGTTCCCAAGTATGGTCCTGCTGTCACCCTTTGAGGTAGAATTGAGGCTTTGTTATTTAAGGGGACTTCTGGAGATCAAAGGAGTTCAAAAGCAGAGCCTGTGGTAGCTGGGATTGGGACAGAGGAGAACCCTTTGTCCCCACAGGGGAGGCTGTGGGTTGGAGGGTTAGAACTCAGAAGGCCTCTCCTGAAAGGAGTCCTGCCTTTAGTCCAGCATTCTGCGGTGGGCTGGCGGCAGACAGGGTATGCAGGCTAGCAGTGGAAAGTCTGCTCTGCACTGGAAGGTGTTGATGGGAGAGCAAAAAGGGGGCAGAGGACAGCTAGGAGGGTGGAGGGACTAGACCCAGGTGATGATCACCCCCTGGCCAACTCACAGCTTGCAAGGTAGAAAGACCTGCTTCTTGGTGTTAAATAGCCTGAAGGCAGGTAGGGAGATCTGACCACAGAGAACAGACAGGCGCTCCAGAAACGCGTGTTGGAGGGAGAAAGCCTTCCCTGGCAGGACCTCTGGGTGGGATGACCTCATCCCTTCCCCGTCTCAGCGACCTAGACTTTATTATTCCAGCCTTTAGGTAGACATGACGCTATGCCAAGCCTAAAGGTTAAAGGAAGAGCTGCCTTGGCCTTAGGGCGCTCAGCGCTCCCTGACTGCCTCCCCTGAGAGCCTTCCTGGGAACTCTTGTCTCCTCCAGAGCTTGGGACCTCCCTGATGTTCCCCTGCCTGCACCCTGACTGTCCCTACAGCATTTTGGCCTGCCCACCCTGTGTGTACTGCAGGGGCAGCCATGAGAGCGGGTGCTGCAGCTGATAAAGGAAGAGTAAAATTACACTTTGACACAGGCGGTCAGACACTGCGGAGAATGGAGAATGTCAGCCCGCTTTAGACGCTCTGCGCCTGGTTTCCATGGCAGAATAAGCAGATTCCCCAGCAGTCAAAGGCCAGTGACAACTCAGTGTGGCCCTGTCACATTTCCCCTAAGGTTCTCTCTGGGTGGAAGCTGTCAGGATTAGGTCCTACTGACATCCTTCTTAGAATCCGGGATGCCAGGATGCCAGGGGATTTACCCAAGACTGAAGCCATCTCATTAAAACTGAACTGGACAGCTACCCCAAGAACTTGGCTTTATTTATTTATTTATTTATTTTTTATTTTTTGTAATGCAGCTTCTTTTTGCTTAAGCTTTATGTCCCTTGGGGGTCGCTGTGAAGTCAGATGGGAGTTTCCAGCTTGCTCTTGGGCAAGGATGAGAAGTGGTCCCCTCCCTTCTAGACTGTAAAGCAAACCTGAGAGGAGTGTGAGATGTCATATTAACAAGTGCCTTGGACATTTTTTTTAACCAGGTATATCTTCAGAGTATGCTAGCAGGTCCTGGGTCCAATACACAAGTTCAGGAAAGCATCCTGTTTGACAGTGATCTTTGGGTCAAGAGAAGGACAGTTTAGATCCTAGACATGGTTTACTTAGGTGAACTAAATCTGCATAGTTTGTCTTGAGTGCCTAGCTGCACAAGAAATGTCCTGGTTATTTCAGGTGAGGCAGGAAAATGAAATAACAATCACTTAGAAACCCCCAAGGAAAGATCTGTTGCTAGCTGATGGCTGGTAGCCCAGCATGAAGATGGTCTTGGTTTGGTCTCCGTTGCTGTAACAAACTACCCTGGGTTGGGTAATTCATAAAGAAGAGAGGTTTATTTCGGTTCATGGTTCTGGGAGTCCAGGGAATGCCAGCATCAATTTGGTTTTTGGTGAGGGCCTCTTTCAGCTTCAACTAACTCATGGTGGAAAGTAGAAGTAGGAAGTACTTGCAAAGATGTTGGGGGTGGGGTGGGGGCAGATATCTGCTTAACAGCAACCTACTCTTGTGATAACTAACCCAGTTCTATAAGAACTGACCCACTCTCTTAAGAAGGTAATTAATCTCTTTTTAAGCATCTACCCCTACTCCCCAACACAGACACATTATAACTCCAGTATGAGTTGGCAGAGACAAATGCTTAACTGTAGCCAAGTACGCTGGCATTTTGTCATTTGGGAGAGAATGGGTGGATGGCTCCTGCAAGATCCTAAGTGATGTTCTCCGGGGTGGGGTTATCTGTCCATGGCCCAGGTTCTCAGAGCCAGATCCCAGCCATACCCTGGAGGAGCGGGTGGCACACTGGTACTTCAGCCAGCTGGACAGCAACAACAGTGACGACATTAACAAGCGAGAGATGAAGCCCTTCAAGCGCTATGTAAAGAAGAAAGCCAAGCCCAAGAAATGTGCCCGGCGTTTCACTGACTACTGTGACCTCAACAAGGACAAGGTCATCTCACTGCCTGAGCTGAAGGGCTGCCTGGGTGTTAGCAAAGAAGGTGAGTTCTGCCCGGTGTGCCTGGCCTCTTAATACCTTCCCAACCCAGGGACAGGACCCAAGGGCTGTCCTGAGGAATGAGGTCCTCGACATCCATGTATCCACCAGCTGTTTACTGGGAGTGGGCTATGCTTTAGGGCTACCTGCCTACTGTAGCTGTAGAACTGACTGATAAGGTTCATATTCTTATACAGTCTACTGAGGAGACATAATAGATAGTTAATCCCATACTTTGTGATTAGGACTATGAGGGTGCATTAGTCAGTCAGTAAGTGACTCTCACACATCATAACTCAGCTTAGCAGACATTGTTTATCTTTTATCTTCTCCATGGAGTAGGACAGCATAGTTCCAGACTCTGTGCATATGTGTGTGTGTATGTGTGTGTGTGTGTGTGAGTGCGCATGTGTTGTATGTGGTATGTATATGTAGGAGATAGAACAAGTATAGGAACTGTTCTGCATACCTCAAGGGATTGAACTGGAAATTATCCAGCTGCCTTCATCAATGGGGCCACTGTGGGGTCTGCTCTATTCCCATCCATCATGTAGAGTAAGCTTGTCCATGTGAGGCAATTCTTTGGGACAGTCTTAGAATTATGAGAACTGCACATGGACTGAAGCTCTGTTACTGGGCTGTAGCAACTGTAGGGAAGATGATAAGAGCAAGGGAAGGCTAGACAACTCTTCATTCAAGTGGGGGTCCTTGTACAGATGGCAAGGAGCCACTGGATTTGGAAGGTCTTATTTGAAAGAGACTGCCCAGTGCTCATGCCAGGTCTACCCGGGGGCACTTGGAGCTGAGTGCAGATCGTTGAGGCCTGACCCTGTCCCACTGAATTCCCTTTCTGTGCTGGGAGTTCTGGTGCATGCATCACCCAAAGCCAAGGCAGGGTACAAGGGGTTGTCTTGGTCTACTGAACTTAGGGAGCCTCCCTCATGGAGGCACCTGGTGTCTGCCAGTCCCTGCTAACACACAAGACCTGCAGGAAGCATCCAGAGGAACCTGTGGACTGGGATGCAGGGCTTAAGGACCACCATTCATCTGGATGCTCCTCCAAATTCAGCCAGAAGCAGGCTGTAGATTCAAGTCATCTGAACAGTTTTTTCCCAGAGACCCCTGGGTGCTTCCTGCTTCTTGCCCAACCTACTTTCCTGACTGTCCTGCCCCCCTCCCAATTCAAAGGTGTCTGTACATATGATTGTGACATGTCTGTATGCACCTGTAATTTGCATGCATTTCTCTGGCACGTCTCTGTGAGCATGACTGCATAAGTACCTGCCCAAGGGCATCTCTATCTGTGAGTACACATGTGCATGTTTATGTCTGTCTATAAAAATTACAATTTTTTTGTGTATGTGCGAGTGTTTCCTTCCATGTATGCACGTGCCAGTACCTGCAGAGGCCAAAAGAGACCCCCTTGGAACTAGAATTACAGACAGTTGAGAGCCATCATGTAGGTGCTGGGAACTGAATCTGGGTTCTCTTGCAAGAGCAGCAAGTGCCCTTAAGGACTGAGGCATCTCTTCAGCTCTTTATGCCCTACTTAAAATGTCTATGTATGCACAGCTATACATGTATGTACATGATCTCTTTCTGTCTCTCTCTCTGTGCGTGTGCGTGTGCATGTGCGTGTGTGTGGAATGGGGTGAAGTAGATCTTTGAGTTAGGAAGAAGAGGCAGGTGTAGGGTTACCATTGGGGCAGGGAGCTATGTGGATAGAAAGCCTGCAGAGATCACATGGGGTTCCTCTTTCCACTCCATTCCTCCATACAGCACAGTACACACTACTACTACAGTTTAGAGCTGAGAGGCTTCTGTTGCTTTGTATTAGAAGAATCTGGACTGGGCAGAGGGACAGTGATTTGCACTCACAAGGCAGCCATGTTGCCAGTGCTTGGTTCACTCATAGGACTTTGAAGTCTAGCCTCTGTGGCCTTTATGAGGACCCCAGAGTGAACAGAAAGCCTCTTGTGAGCCAGCCAGCCTTGTCTGGGCAAGTCAAGAGAGTGGCCAGAGAGGAATCCAGGGCAGTGGGGTGCAGTTGTAGACTTGGGGCTCTGTGAGCAGAGGTAGGGCCTACTGGGAGCTGTGTGTCCAATGCCCTGACAAGGAAGCCAGTTTTCAAGCATATGGTACCATCAGGGGACCATGGAGAAACCTAGGGAAGAGTGAGGACCGCTGTCTTTACAGAAGTAGAGATGTAAGTATGAACAGAGGTCCTGAAGTCAGGTCGACTTGACTCTTAAATTCTAGCTCTATCCATTCTAGCTCTATAATTTGACAAGTCACTTTTCTGGACTTCAGTTTCCTTCTTTGCCAAACGTCTACCTTAGATATTTGATATGAGAAGTTAGCAAGATAGTCCAGGTGAAGGGTGAGGCACAGTCTGGCCAGCTGCACAGCGAACACACAGAAACTATTAGTAGCATAGGAATCTACCTACTGGCCAGAGGTGCTGCTGGCAACTCCCTGGCCTCCCTGGGCTCTGGGTGAGGTCACACAAAGCCACTTGACTGTGTGGTATGTGGGAGCCCAGGAACAGGTTCATCTGGTATTGTGTGGTGCCCTCTGGTGGCCTGAGAGAGGCCTACATGCCAGGTGGGGGCCCAGTGAGGGTGGGAAGGGAATGTGGGACTTGAGGAATGTAGTTTTGGACTTGAGAGGCCAAAACTTTAGAGATGCCACAGGAACAAGCGCTTCTTTCGCCCCCCAGAACTCCCACTGGAGAGCTGAATTCCCTGCCCAGCATGGCAAAGCCTGCTGGCATTTGGAGGCCCGGCCTCTTTAATAACTTGTCTTTTCCAACTCATAAAACACACATGTCAGGGTTATCGTCGCCCTCCTGTAAGGCAGGCAGCGTGAGGACTAGTCTTGGTGGCTCAGGGGTGCCAGCTTTCCCTTGGGCTCAGGCTTCCCTTCCCTCTCCCCTCCGAGGGTCCAGAGCATGGGGCCAGCACTGGATTTGCTTCCTCCCGGGAACACGGTGCCCTTCCGGTTTCTTAGCCTCATTAGATGCGGGATACTTTCATTGCTTTTTTCTATGAAGCTGTGGAGGTACAGGGATGGGCTCCTGGCTTTCCACTTTGTTTTCTGGGTCTCGACTGATGAAGCAGGGCCAAGACTGCCTTAGGCCTCCTCTTTCTGTGTTTACGGCTGAGAGCAGCAGCTGCAGAGTACAGCACAGTAAACATGGAAGCTAAGGTCAGGTTTTTTCCCAGCTGCCCACCTTCGGTCTGATCCTCTTGTCGTCCTGGATTTGTGACCTCGTCTGCAAACATGGGTGTACCAACATCTACCCTTATTTTGCCTCTCTTGGGCAAAGGGATGTTGGGAGATGCTGGGCTGTGGGGTCATAAGATCTGTAGGTAAGCTGGGGCTCAGCAGGGCTGAACCCCTAAACCTCCATGAATTCATCTGATCCTTGGGGCAATCCTGCATGGGAGGCAGAGTAGAAGCAACAGAGGTATCATCCTAATCCATCTTCTGGTCTCACCCTGTGAGGTCCACAAGCATGCTCAGAAACACAGGAAACTGGCCCAGCTTCTGGTATGTTCCTCCTTTGGGAGACCAAGTCTTTGACGGAGCACCATGGCCAGAGTGCTGAGCTGCCTGGCAGCCTGTACCCAGTGGTAGATGCTAACACACTGGGTCTTGGACCTCATGTAAGTCACTCTGAGCCTTTGCCTACCGATTTGGCAAGTGAAGGGATTAAGGTCCCTCCTACCAAGAAGGTTATGGCAATAGCCACTGAAGCCCTTATTAGCTAATAGCTGAGGGGATTCCAAAGAGGCATCCCCCATAGGGCTCTGTACCACAGCCGGGAAAGGAAAGTGAAGGAAAGGGTTTGTTCTGTCCTCTATTGGTGCCTGCCATGGTCAGCCTGAACTACACAGAAAAGGCCGTCTCAGCGAGGACAATGGCAACAAGAGCAGCAATAAACCAAAGAGACACCCCAACCCGACCTATAGAAAAGAGGCGGTTTAAAGGTGTTAGCGGACAATGACTTACCAGGCAGAGCATGGATAGCAACAGGCATTCACAGCACAGCCGTGCCGCCCGGCTCCCTCCCACTCCCGTCATTTCTGAAGGCACAGGGGGCGGGGGCTCACATACAAGCTCTGCCAGCTCTCTGGGTCAAGGCTGCTCCCGTGTCATATGTTCCTATTTGTTGCAGGTGGTAGCCTTGGCAGCTTCCCCCAGGGAAAACGAGCAGGCACAAACCCATTCAGTAAGTCGCCTTCTTTCTGGCCCTACCCTCTTTCCTCTATGGACCCCTCCTGAAGCTGTGGTAGCGCAGCAATAAAGCAGTTGGCCAGATCGCGTAAGGGTCCGCACTTGGGGTCTGGTGGGGGCATAAGAGGAAGATGGCATTCGGTGCTCAGAGGATTCTGTTGCCCCGACCTGTCGCCGCGGACGCCTGCTCTTTCCTCCAGGCTGAGGTGGTGTGATCTGGTTAGAAAGCACCTCCACCACATGCTTGTCTGGCAGAGTCAAGGTCTTTACAATTCCAAAATGACTCCAGATGCTGTGAGCTGGCATTCAGGTCAGAACGCCAAGGCCATCTGTGCCCACCCAGTCCATAGCCTGTGTGCAAAGGCTGTCCTTGTGCAGAAACTCACTTACGTAGCTGAATGTTTCATACCCCCAGCTCTAACCTCTGCTTGTCTCACTTTCTCTTTTGACTCTTCCTTTCCCCTCCTAGTTGGACGCCTTGTCTAAGGAGCAGAAGATCAAAGGGCCAGTGGAGCGTCCAAGGAGACAGGACCGACCATCAGACACCGAACCTTCAGCACTGCCCATGCCCAGCCACAGCCCGTGTAACATAAGTGGTGCCCGTTATGTTTGCACTTTTAATAACTCTTAATGCGTGTGTTTTGTTTCTGGTTTCATTTGTAAACACCAGCTATCTAATACCACGGCGGGAACAGGAAAGGGAAGACAAGCGGTTTATTCTCTAAAGTTAAGATTTTGGATCTGCTACTGACAACTTTTAGGGTATTGGGGAGGGGGGTGTTACTGGGATTGAGAGGAAAGAGATTTATATACTGTATATAAATATATATGTAAATTGTATAGTTCTTTTGTACAGGCGTTACTATTTTCCCCCTCTGTCCCCTCTCCTCCCTCTGGACTCACAGTTCAGCCTTCTCAGACTGTGTCCTGAGCTTTCCTGGGTTTCACTGGCGATGGACTCTGTGTGAGAGTAGAGGGGGGCCCCGTGTTTGTGCTATGGACCCATCAGCTCTCTTCCGGTGGGCAGAGTGTACTGTTCCATGTCATTAGCTGTCAGAGTCTAATTGCTTGGCCATGGGTGGGGTATGAGTTGAGCCCAGCTCATGTGGTGGCCAATGTGGACTCCAAAATTCTCCAGTGTTCCACATGCCCCTGCTATCCGGACCCCTTGGCAGGCTATGATGAATAACTGAGAAAACTATGCTTGAAGAGGTTGACTAAGCTACTTTAAACGTTTCCACCCATGTTTAGCACCAGAGGGGATACACCAAGCGTGTGAGGAAAGGACACCCAGCAGGGCTCTCCTCAGCAGGTGTTTGGCAAACCCTCAGGAGAGACTCCACAAGCATGCCTCTCCCAACAGTAGCGTCAGACTGAGTTTAACTTCCATGCCCTCACACTATCTCTCACCCTCATCCTCACCGATCGGGTCAGCCCCCAATACTGGAGTTAGTCCTCTGGTTTCTTCAGCTTCCCTCATGGACTTCCAGACCTATGGACCAATTCATGTGTTGTCCCTCACTTCTGCCTCCCCATGAGGAATAGAAGGAATAATCCAGCTACTGGAGAATCTAGGTTTTTGCACAGGTGGTCACCCGGATTGCAGAGTGGCCATCCAGCCTTCAGGACAGACAAGCAGCTTCTTCTGTCATGCTGATTCAGATGGCCTTCAGTAAGAGCAGCAAGTGACAGTTAGCAGCTGTTTCCATAGTCAGTCATGGTGTCAGTGAGGCAGGTCAGGAGCCCTGGGCAATCCGGCCTTGTCTGCTCTTCCTTCTCGGTATCCCGGAAGTGTATCCACCTTGGTAAACCTTGTTTTCTGCCTTGGGTCTGGAAGACATTGGCCTCATACATGCTGCCCAGGTATAGGGTACACAGCCTTCTTGGGACACCTGCTGTTCTGCAGAAAGTCATACATGATGACCAGTGGCCCTGTCCTGACATGGTAAGGTGGAAAAGAAGACCTTTCCAGTGTGCTGGAGCTGGATGTCCCTCACAGCAGTCTCCAGCCCCATTTCCTAGCCTAAAGGAAATGTTCACAGAGAAGCCACCTCCATGCAGGAGCTCAAAACCTATCCAGCCATCTTCTCTCTCACAGATGGGTGCAGGCTATGCTGTGTGGGCTTTCCTTGGGAGGGAGGGAGCAAGGCAATGTGTTTGTAGCTTATTTTATAAAAAATAAAAAATGGGTAAACCTTGGCAGCTGCTGCGTCTTTCTCTGAGTGGCCTCTTCTGAAGGGAAAACCCCATTTCTTAGAAGGTTTCAGGGTGTTCCTGGCCTAAGTGCTCAAGCTCTGAACCTGGCGAGGCTAGGTTTCTGTTCATGGACATCAGCAGGAAGCATGGAGGCCTTGGGGTATCCCTGTGAAGATAGCACTGGTCCTCTTGGACCTTGCCTGTCAATGTGTATGCTTTTACTCTCCCTCTTACCATCCCCTTGCAGATGCCCCAAAGTACCTCCATTCTGGGGGCTTTCCCTTAAGCTACAACTGGAATGTAGCTGGAGAAGCTTTGGGGGGCAGGGTCCCAGACAAGTGTGTTCTGTGGCTTCAGTCTGGTGAGCATGGCTGTGTTGATCATGATCTGGACCCAGGGCTGGAACGCAGGTGGAAATGTGCACCTCAGTGGGGTTTATGCAGTCCGCATCTCAGTTCCGTGTGGCATACATCTGTGACGTGGCTGGTGAACCCTCAGAGCACAGGGCTTTGAGATAGGGGTTGATGACCTATCTCGGGCTAGGATAGGAGCCATGTGCCTAGGTCTCCCGTGAGTGGGGTTATTTCCTTTCACTCAAGGCTGTCCTTGGAAATAACCTTTGTAATTGCCTACTTTAGTAGCTTTTCCAGATTCTTTTTTTTTTTTGGCTGCATTTGGGCCTTTGTCCTCTGTGATTACACAAGATAATTTCCCGTGAACCCCCACCCCAACCTTTCCTCCTGCTTGACTTCCCTGGAAAAGGATCTGAGCCCTTGACTGGTCACTGTCCCTCATCATCTGGTACCCCTATCCAGTTCCTCTCCAGATTCAGGGCAACGGGGATGGCTGTACACTTATGTACCAGACACTGTGTCTGCTGTGTCTCATGCACTGTCACATGACTCTTAGCGTCTTCCCTCACCGTTTCCAGGGGGCACTAGAACAGCCACTTCTGCTTCCCGTATTACTTGGGCCTGGGCTGCATCCCTGAGAGTTCATTTTCACTCTGAGCAGTTAAGGCTCTTACTAAAAGCCATTATTATGCAAAGGACCGCCACAGGCCGGCACTTCCCACGCAGGACCTCCTGGAGGATTCAGAGTTGACCTGGCCGAGAGCCAGGTGGAGTAGAACGGGGCAGGTCTGAGCTCCAGGAGGGTGACACACACTCCCACCCCTTGCTCCTCTTTCTCCAAGACAGTTGCTTCAAGAGTCAAGGAAAAGGCACAAGACAGGTCCAGCCTGTTTCGTCTCACCTCAGGGCTCAGAGTCATGCTCCATGTCCACAAGGAGGGAACACTGAAGACATATTCAGTGGCAAGTTCTAGAGGTTGCTGGGGCTGGACATTTTTTTTTTAGGACCACTGAATGCTGACAGAAGATCAGGTTCCAGGTCCCTGGGGTTCCCAGAGATAATCCTTGCTTCCCAAGGAGGTAGAATCTGACAGCCCTAACACCTTTGTGGAAAGATGGAAGGATGGATGGATAGATAGATAGATAGATAGATAGATAGATAGATGGACATAAAAAATCAAAATAACAAACAATTCAGAGACAGCTAAGTTAGCTTTCTGGACATTTATCTCCAGGCTCTAACTGACCTGCAAGATCATGGATATGCCACTAAGGAGGCTCAAGTCTTTCTTATGAGCCTTGGCCTTTTCATGCTGCACATGTGGAGACAAGGGAGGTGAGGTTTTCATGAGTTTCCACCAAGCCCTTTGACCCTTCAGCATGTATCATTTCTGTTACTCTTCTGCCGCTTCCATGGCATGCCAAGAAGGCACTAACCTTGACCACATCCTGTCTATTACTAACTTCCTGGGCTGGGTCTCTTGCCACGTCTTGTCAACACAGGGTAGATGAATCTGATTGATTCCTGGTGCTTGCTCCTTCCCCCTCTAACAGCCACCATAACATTGTAGTCTCAGCACTCTGCTTTGTCCTGTACCATTTCCCCTCTTAAGAGAATTTCCACAAAAGCCCCTTTGCTTATATCCTCTTAAATGGACTATTGATTCTAGTTAATGGTTGATGAGCCTGTATGTGTTAAGCCAGGCATGTTCCCAGACTCAAGGCCATCCTTGAATAATCTACACACTTGACAGAAGGGTAGGCTGCACACTGGGCAGTTGTCAGACGGCTAGCATAACTCAGAAGAGACAAGGGTAAGCTGCAACAGCACATGCTCCTCTTGACTTCTGTGGCTAAAACACAAGGGACAACCTAGACTTAGAGTCAGATGCTGCACTTATTTATACTGTCCTCATACATGGGTCCAGGCTAAGAAAGACTCCATCCTTCATGATAGTGGGAGCAGAGAAAGAGAGACACGGTAAACTGCACTCTGCTTCCTATCCAGAAGTGATGTATATCACTGTTTTAGTTTGCTTTCTATTGCATTGATGAAAACCATGCTTAAAACCAACCTGGGGAGGAAAGAGTTTATTTGGATTACATGGTCCAATTATAGTTTATCACTGAGGGAATTGGGGGTAAGAACTCAGACAGAAGAGACAGAAACCACTGAGGAACATTCTTCTGGCTTGTTCAGCTACTTATACGGCCTGGACCATCTGCTCAGAGGTGGCACCGCCCACAGTGGGCTGGGCCCTCCTAAATCAATCATCAATCAAGAAAATGCTCCCATGGACTTGCCAATCTGGTGGAGGCAATTACTCAATTGACGTTCCCTCTGTCCAGATATGTTCTCTGTTTGTGTCAAGTTGACAAAAACTAACCCTCGAAGAAGTCACATTATTCATGTTCTGGTGACTAAAGAAAATTACAAGATCCCACCCAACTCTGCAGCAGTGAAGACATAAAATAAGTATTTAGTGAAAACTCTGCTATGTAGATTATCCTAGTGTGATTGCAATGTTTACACTGTCTAATAAACCACTTGCTTATCACATGTGGCACAATACATTTTGCCCATGACTTTTGACAGGTTTAGCGTGTTCCTGACAACTACCATTTTCTCTTCCCAGCACATGTCCCTTCTGTGAGAATTCAGCACCCCACCTAGAGGCTGTCTCTCAAGCTGTGTAGGAACCCTGCCACCCTCACAGTGTGGGCAGGAGAAGAGAAGTTGGAGGGGGAAGGGCAGGCTCAGGTAGGAGAATAGTTAGCTGAAGAATCCAGTGCCCTGTGTTATGCACGTGAAACTTTTGTGGCTTCTGTAATCATTAGTTTGATCCCTACCCTATTGAATCATCTTCCATTGAGTAGTGGGTTCCTTAATGATAGCCAGGGTTTTCCATGATGTTTTGGTCACTTCAACTACTTACAAGCTCAGTTCCAAGCAATCATACAACTCAATATCCAACTTGCTTCAGATTCTCCTCCCCTCCCTGCCTTAGCACAGTGCTCTGGTCCATGACTGCCAGGAAAACAGGGAAGCTACAGTCTGGCTCCAGGCCAATTACTCTTCTGCTTTATAATTCTTTGTGATGGAGTCAGGAGGAGGAGGGAAAGGAAGAGAAACCATGAGGGTCTCTGAGCAGTGTAGCCCTCTGTGTTCATTGTAGCCTGTTTAGTTAGGGGTTCTATTGCCATGAAGAGATACTGAAAGACCCGCGGAGGGCATGGACCCTCACGCCCTGACTCAGGAAAGGCGCCCCCCCCAAATGACTCATGAGAAGCG